TAACTATTTTATTTGCAGTTATTGAATACATTTCGAATTGTAAGGGCTGTCTAATATGTGTTGGGATACATATTTTTATTTTTATTTTAGAATTATATTCGAATTTCGAAGCCGAAGCCCTAGTTTATAGCAGCGGTGTAGAGACTAGAGGACACAGGCTGTTCGCTGCTCGTTCTGTGAGCGGAGGAGAACGAGCGGCCCGCTCAGACTCTACTCAGCACTTTTCACTGCTTGTAATTCTTACACAGCTGAATCAATTACCTCAAGTTTTCAATTAAATTCCGGATTATAATACAACTTGCATGTAGTAATAAGCATTTTTATCAACTACTTAGAAAAAAATCGGGTATAGCTTCTTTAAGAGTATAACTAAAGGGAAATCCCCTGGGACATGCAGGTTCAAATATATGAAACGTCCAGTTGATATGTGGTGCCCCTATAACAAGCATTTTCATAGTTTGGTTGCCACAGAGTCCAGATTTATGGAATATGTTGGAGAAATATTTGTATAACGGTCATATTCTCTAATAATCCTTACAAGAAATATGGTGAAAAATGCATGCAACACAATGCGGAAAATTACCTTTTCATATTACAGAGAAATTTACCATGATGTGGGAGTTTTTAATTACCAATTTCAAAGAGGGAGGAAAATTGTGTTTGGTTTTATTATCTTAGGCCCTCGAAAAATTCCATTCTTGGTGTATAGTTTGGATTGTTATCCAATCTGTTTTCATGTAACTGTATCACACAACAATATACATTACAAACTGCATAATTGACATTGGAATGAAGCGTACTACCAAAAAGGGCCTCTTTAATGTAATAGTAATCGAGTGATTTGTTAATTATGTGGAGCACATTCGAGGAGTGTAACTTCATTAAGAAAGTGCCGCTCGAAGCACCTAATTAATTCCCCTCCCCAATTTAAGTCACAGAAACAGATCCAGTTGAAACACTCAAGCAAGGCAAAGAACTGATAACATACACATGGGTCGTGCTTCACACTACCATATCGTTTCTTTCCAGGAGCACTGTAGCCCCTGTATAAAAGGTTTCAACACGGCTGCTGGCATAGGGCTCCAAGCCCTGGCCAGCCGCCTACAGAGGTACACTAAAGAGAATATATATATAACTGGATAGTTCCCTGTATACATGGTACCCCTAGCTAGCATGGTTGAACTGTTGAACCACTTCTACACTGTTATATGTTTGAAAAATCATCCTCCTCCACGTTTTTTCAGTAATTCTTTGTATTGGCTACAATGTTGAAAGGGTATTACTCCTGATTTTTTTACATCACTTTCAGACCGTGAGCGAAAACATTTAATCATAAGCCTATGTAGTGACCGTGTAATTTTTTTTTTGGATCGTGATTCCTTTTCACCTCACAACGCAACAATCACACTATTTTGTATGCCCTACAAGATGTCATCCGTAGCTAAAAGGTGTAGATTGCTAACACCACAAAGGGCCTGAGCTAACCATCTATTATTACACAGTATTATACCTGGGGGGTAGGCAGCAGCACTTAACACCGTTGGTGACACACACACGCACATGAAAACGCATGCACACACGCACATACACACAATGCTGTTATTGTAATCACACATATATTGTCCAACAGTCTAACACTATACAGTCCAGAGCCTGAAACAGGAATTTTCTAAATGTACATGCTTATAACAGAAGGAGGAGGGTGGGACTACTGTGGCCTGACAAGTGAGAGAGAGAAAGATGAGAGATAATTTGACACTTATCAAAGCTGTTGAATTGAGTTGAGTTCATTACAGACAAAGATTGTGATCCTATATATACTGTGCACACACTGGTGACTTTGGAATAAAGGAGGTGCTGGAAAAAGTGACAAATGAAGAAATGGAAAAAAAATAAGGTTCTTGACTGTCATGAAAACTATAGGCACTTCGATATTTAGAATTAAAAAGATTTACAGGTTTGTATGTACTTATTCAAATTTTGGGGAGAAAATAATAAAGGCATGTTGCTTGATTTCACACAAAAATCAGTCACTTTGTGTTAGTCTTTCACATAAACTGCAGTTCTACAGTTCATGGTAATCATATTAATATTTTTTTTTAAGCTTTGAGATGTTGTTTGGCGTGCCTTTGGAAATGTCCCATCACCTCATTGGTTAAAATAAAGTGAGAAGATGACTGTTTTGGCTCTTGTTTGATTTTCTATATAAAACTCTTTGATTACGATGGCTTTGCGTTGTTCAGAAAGGCTGTAGAGAGTGTCAGTTTCAGCTGGTGGTGTGTCATTTGACTGTTTTCAAACAAAATCTGTGCCATGGGAACACTGCTTCACATCACTGTCATATTCCAGATTTCATCTACAGCAGCAAAATGAAATTCAAACTGTTTCCATGACCTTTCTAATTCATAAGTATAAGAAACAGCAGCTATCTCACGTTGAGCAGCCTGGAACTTGATTGGGTGCTGTCCTGGCCGGGTCCCACTCAATTAATGAGCCAATTGACTTACTCCCACCCAGCTGCGGCCTCGAGCACACAACTGATCAACAAGCTATTCGGTGTTCTCTGGTCCACCATAATGTTAAAACCATTTATATCAATAAATCTAATGTATGAGTGTTAAACTAGTACACAACAAGTCGCTGGATGGTGCTTGTCATGAGGCATATCTATAAATAATAACCTTTTAACAGTGTATGATTCAGTGACTGTGATGTCAAACTGTGCTCTGATGCAACAATGGTGTTTCCATTTTTTTTCTACACTCCTTGGTCTGTGTGTCGTCCTTATGAAAAACACTCAGGAAGCATGTGGCGTGTCATTATGGTTTGATAAACTTGCAATGATGGAAATTAGAAACTATAGGAACTGTAAAAAATGTAATTTGCGTATTATGTGTGTCAAATCTATTAGATCTTTTACCCAGAGTTCAGGTGTATCACGTGAGATAATAGAGAATTGTAAACTTAATGATTGTTCTGAATGTTACTGAAAACAAGACTGATTGCACGGCCATCCTCCTGGACATGGCCTGCGATAAGAAGGTGACCAGACTGAATGGGGATATAAAACCAATCCAATATAACGGACCATCTCTAATTGCTACAGTGTAAACAACATCAAAAAAAACATAAGAAAGAAGCAATAAGGAATTATGGTAACTTTCTCCTGCTTTACTTTAGTTTAGATGATTTATTGTTCACTACTTACTGTGTTGTTGCTGTGTTCTGGTAGGACTACACCTTATCAATTGTAGCCAGGCTGAATGATTCAATATCTGGCTTGATCTCGTCTTATCCTGAACAATCCGCCCCTATCCCTCGGTCATGAGATAGTCTTTTCACTACAAAGCAGCCCCCTAAGTCACAGTTCCAGATGTTAATGCCCGGCTTGGTGAGGACTATCAGAGCTGGAGGCTGTATAATTGAATAAACAACTTTCCGAGGCCCACGAGGCAACTGCGATCATGACTTACTTTTTAAGCATTTTTACAGATTTGTCCCAACTAAAATGATTCATTGTCCGCATCTTTCGTATAACTCTATTATTAGTAAGTTATCGTTCTGAAATCACTTCATCTTAATGTTGTCACAAAGTATTCCTTCCACAATACAGAGATTGCTAGATAAAACATGCACTACAACACAAACTCTAAACAGGACGTAAGGTACTTGCTAGTGGGAATTAGGAAAATTCTTATTATAAATTATCATTGGCATTTTGAGTAATACAAATTCACCAAACATGATCAATGTAAAAGATTGAATGCAAACAAAATTAAAATGTGCGAGCAGTGTATACCTTCTAAATGCTCTGGAATGGTTCAGAAAAGTCTTCAATCTGGGAATTTCAATCAATGTGACACTACTAGTTTTTTTTTTTTTTTTTCCTCATTCAACCCCACTCTCTCAATGGAAAGACCAAGTAGCAGTGAAGCATTCGCCCACACACCATCATCTCGTCTACTGACAACCATAAAGGGCACATACATTCTTGACACCTCGCAAGTTAATTACAATGACTACAGATGCACTGCTGGAGATGTATAATTATCAGCACCTCTACAATTGGTAGCCCTGCAACAATTGGCACAGAAAAAGAAAATAGCATGGCCTACTGTGATGCATTGGCTGATACTGTGATGCCATTATCTAATTTGCATGTGTGGTTTAGATGTAGCAGGGCTGCAATAGCGATTATGTGTGATGCAACACTGAATTTTCCCCACAGTGGGACAAATATAGGATCTCTTCCTCTTAATTATAAAATAGATTATTAGACTGTAACTATTGGATCACTTTAATCTTTCTTGTGTAGATTACTGTATGTTCAACAAACTAAATAAAAATAACACTTGTTACTCAAACTCCACATGACCTTTCATCCTTATGCAAGGATAATAAACTGATTATGCACAGGTAGGTCACAATTTCTTGTTGCATACTTTTTAAATTAAATTGAGCATTATGGTATGTCAAAAAACTGGATCTTAATAGACAGGCGTTGAGGAACAGTACACCAGTACTAAGATAATGTAGTCATATACAGTAGAAGGATCAGGATGGTGTGCGAAAAGCAGCTATTGAAACTGCCAAGGCCATACAGTGGCCAGTAGATGCAGGCCAATACCACATACACAAACTGTCAACTAAACAATATCATGTAAAAAATGTGAAAAGCTACTAAGAAAATATAGGCTTAGCATGTTAAAAAATGTAATAGTTTTTTTTTTTTGCTTTGTTTACGCGTCTGCGACTGGACTATTTTGCATATTCACAAAGCCACACAGGCGACAGACAGTAAACGCAACAGTAAAACTGGTTAAAGAAAGAAGACACTTGACATGCAAACCACGCAGAGAAATTTGAATGCATTTCCTTGAAATACCGTTTAATCAATTACAAGCTACTTGCATATTGTGTTTCTGCATAACTTGTTGCATTCTTACACGTTATAAAGGAAGTGTACTTGTTACTCACGAGTGCCATCAAAGCGTGTGGCGATGGTGTCCAAGAAGGTGTTTTGCGGGGCTAGGAGCCCCCGCATCACCGGCATCCTGCTCCGGGTGGACTGGGTCCTCCTATTCCTGCGCCCAGGGGCTGAGCTGGACTCCTGCTCAGACCCGAACCCTGGGAGGAACCGAGAGGTGCCTGGTGCGCATCCCAGCCCCTGGAGAAGCGCACCGATCCGAGATACGCGCGGTGACTCCACCTTGGCACCGCGGGGGTTGTGACCATAATCAACTCAGCGGAGAACGAGTAACGACCGCGGGCTGCACCTGAGCACCACGCCGCGGGAGGAGATGCGGAAATCACATCAAATTAAATTGTTCGTGCGCTCTGCTGCATGAGATGATGGAGGAAGGATGGAGCGCAGCAAGTTTTGGTGCTGATGGTGTGTGGAGTAGAGCTCCTCCTCGTCTCTCTCTCCTCCTGCACACACATAGGTGCGACATGTACACACTCTCTGGTTGCATGGATCTTACCACAACAGATGCCGGTCACATGCCTCCTTCAGTGTGTCTGTGTCTGTGTCCCTGATAAAAGTCGACTTAGGGGAAAACAAATAGATGCTTTCAAGGAGCAAGAGACCGTACCCCGGACAACACAACCGTATCTCATTTTAAACTAAACCCAATTCAAGCACAAAAACCTGGTGACTACATAGTCTAATATAACACTAAATTAGCCAAAAGGACGCTTTTGAAAAAAAAAAAAAGACAAAGAACAAACCCAGCACACCTTAAATGCACACAAAACTACACGGAAAATGGTTTGTCAAAGCCCAGTACACACAATCCAATATTTACCCACGACCTGCTTTGTTCTCTCCTCAGGACCACATGGCACCGAGCACCTTCAGACCAGAAATGAAGAATGATCCGCTGAGCAGTGAGTGTGTTCCCTCTACTGGTCCATGTGGTCCACTGCAAGAGTATACGCCCGGAGATCAACGAGGCTCTTCGCTTCAAAACTAGTGTGTGTATCCTTTATTCGCCAGTTGTACTTGTCACTCTTGGGTTGATAGTTTTGTGACTTGTTTTCTTGTTAATTTGCACTTAGTCTAGTCAACAACAACTCATCATGACCTGAAGAGTCTCTTCAGGAGAGAAAACAAACGTTGCATGTGTGCCCAAATGTACAATTTATTAGAGTTATGTGTATAACGTTGAACAACGACAGTTTATCTCTATATATATAGTCTCGAACTCTGGGGTCAAGAATGTATGTTTAATGTATTTTTAAGGACGTTACACTTTCAGATTAAAACATGTATGATGTAGTCTAATAGGCGTAAAATATAATGTAATTTTGCTTCTATTTTTTCAAACAGAAACGTGATCGACACGTTTCGATCAACACGTCTAATGGTCTGATTTGTTCACAACATTCACTAGTGTAATACCCTACATATGACTATAAAATACACCCCCTTTAATGTTAATGTTCAACAAAAACTCTAAATGTAAACAAAATTATTGCATTTAGAGCCAATTCAAAATGATAAACATGCTGTGGATGCGTGTTATGTAATATGGACACGTATGTAACTATCCATCCATCCATTGACCTATGTAATTAGCTAAATAATAATCATTAAAATGCGAGCATCTTTAATTGTCTTGTATTTGAAATTCAAACCGTTATAATTTTGACATAACGATATAGTTTATTCTGTTTAATTTAACAGAGGGGAAAGTTGTACTGAGGCCGTCTCTGATTGGCTGCTGCGCTGACTCCTTTACTCTGATTGGCTGTTCTGACATCCGCACCGCGTCGAGTAGGAAGTACCTGCCGCTCCCTTCACAGTTCATTCACCCAGAGACTACTGCCTCCGCTGCACGATCCCTTCTATCGACAAATTGCTTTTGGTGAGACCATAGTTAATCCTTACACTGTGAATTGTTGACATAATTCTCTAGTTCGGGATTTTGCAGCAGGAAGTGGCATCACGATAGATCCTGTAGTGTAGTGTAGTGTTATCTTCCTGTCTTTCGTCGTTACCAGTCTGTTATGGTCGTCACTTTTACTTCGGCTCTCACTATTGCGTTTACGTATCAAGATATGAATGGGATTGCAGCATTGTGTAATATAATCAATGTTATAATATGATCCTTGAATGCCTATTTGTGCTGTTAAGATAAGCTCAGTCATTTTAGCTAACTTGACGAGAATGCTTTTTCCCCGTTGGCTCTTTCAGTCTCCTCCCTATCATACCACAATCTATTCACTTATGCAATCTTGTTTCCTATAGGCTATACAGAAGTGGCCCTTACAGTTTTATGCTGCAAGTTAACCAACCTGTCCTGATCAAGTTTTTGTAAAAACAGGCTTTTCTTGCTTGAAGAGACTCATTATGCTTGGCTCAAGACTAAGAGGATCACAAGATTGCATTATAGCATTATTGTGCAGACTCATTGCTCTGATTATCTTTCATATCTATTACACAATACAATTTTTTCTAATATCAGTGATTTGATATATAGTTGCAGCACAGGACCTTTGCTATTAAATCCCCAATGATGCCAATGAATGTGTTAACTCCAAGAAAAGCCACTGGAATGTCTCTGTAATAGCAGATCTATAAAGTCTTTTCATGTGTGATTTGTTACACAACAGCCTCTCAGAAGATGTCTCAGAAGATCAAAGCTGGTTCTGTGGTGGAGATGCAGGGGGATGAAATGACACGGGTCATCTGGGAGCTTATTAAAGAGAAACTCATCTTTCCCTACTTGGAACTGGACATGCACAGGTGAACACATGCATTATACATTTGTTGTATTTACTGTTTTACAACAACCTGCTCAGGGACTACAGGTGTAAATTAGCACTGCTGCTAAAACCTGGCACAATGCATCTCTCCTTCTGGCTAATTTTTATTGTACACTGTCCCTGTAAAAATAAAAACCATACCATACCATACATACTCACCTGAGTCATTGTGAAAGTTTAAAGTTTTTCTAGACTGGGGTTTCAAGGTGTTCCTGATGGTGACATTTAGTATTTCGTCATCTGTTGTTTGTGATTAATGTTTAACTTCTAGCAAAAAATGTAGGACACCAAAATAAATTCACAAAAAAAAATTGTACAAGAATTGTAATCATTGAATTTGCATACAACTATAATTGCAAGATCATTGGTGAGGCAGTGCAAAAATGATTGTAACTCAGTCATTATTGGTAAACGTGTGCATTGTTGTGAACCTGGGTTGGTTTTCATAATGAACCTTTCTGGGTGATAGGTCACAGCTCTCAAACAAAGCTACTCTGTGATTTTAAGCTGGCCTGAAAATCTTCAACTTATTCTGTGGTTGAACTTTTTTGTGAAATGTTGTGATTCAAGTTTGACAGAATATGAAACATCATCAGTCTATCTGTTGCACAATGAATTCACACTATTGACCTACTGCCCTAACTATTGACCTAACTGCTAAACTGATGTAATTGCTGATAGACTGTGTTGCAACAATGACAACAGGCACAAAGGCAGAACGCATCTGAGAATTTCAGCAAATTATTCAAGCCTGTTCTGTTTGGGGTTATCCAATAAAAGCGTCCTCCATCCATCCATCCATCCATTTTCTACCCTTTAATCCATTTCTGGGTCAGGGGGGTGGCAGTCAGAGATGCCACCCAAGTCTCATAGCACCAGCCCCTCACTGACCCTCTGCAGGTGGTGAGTCCACAGGAGGACGGCTGCTCTCTGAGTGTGAGCATAGCCTTGATCTTTCAGTGGGAGCTTTTGGGCAAAGTGGGGTTAAGTGTCTTGCCCAAGGACACAACGACAGCAGTCATCAGTGGGAGTCGGTGGAGAAGGTGCAGAGGTGGGAATTGAACCCACAACCTTCTGGGCTTAAGGCCAATGCTCTACCAACTGAGCTACTGTCGCCCCTTTTTGGCTATTTTTACAAATGAAAAGAACTCCACATTAATGCCACAGTGACTAATGAAGCATGATAATCATTGTTGTCATCACCCACAGTTTTATTTGATTTATTTATTTGATTCATGTGTTGCCACAGAATGAAAAGATGAGTTAGCAAATGTTATTTACTAAATGTTTTTCTTGATATAGTTTTGACCTGGGTATGGAAAATCGAGATGCAACGGACGACCAGGTGACCATAGAAGCAGCGGAGGCAGTGCGTCGCTACAATGTGGGGATCAAGTGTGCCACCATCACCCCAGATGAAAATAGGGTGGAGGAGTTCAAGCTTAAGCAGATGTGGCGTTCCCCAAATGGAACCATCCGGAACATCCTGGGAGGGACAGTGTTCAGGGAGGCCATTATCTGCAAGAACATCCCCCGCCTGGTTCCTGGCTGGATCAAGCCCATCATCATCGGGAGACATGCCCATGGAGATCAAGTATGCTACTATTTTATAACCACATTACACACATAGTTTTGTGATTGAATATATATATATTATAAACTAATGTTCAGTTAATTATGACAATCATACTATGTGTTGAAGTGACAACTTCTTTCTCCCAGAACACTTATTACAACATTAGTGTTATAAATAATAGTATGTGTTGTAGTCAGGTGACACATTCTTTCTACAAGAATATAATTTTTATGAAATACTTTCAAAAAGTATCATCCTTACAAGAATCAGAATGCATTCTATTTGTTACATTGGTAGTTGACAGCTTGATTATAACAAGACATGAGACATTTTAGTGTTGTCAGAACTAACTTGGTGAATAATTATCATTGATGCTCCTTGTCCTGTGTCACACAGGCAGGCAATTTATGGCTTTGGGCCAAAGTCAATATCTTTTTTATGGAGCAAAGAGGAATTGGTGATTACTTAATAATGTACACAATGATGTTGATATTTTCTATAGAGTTGGGATATGGAGAAAAAAAGCTATTTAATGAGATACGCATAAATGTAAACTATTGCCATCGTTTTAACAAATGTATTTTATCTTCAGTACAAAGCCACAGACTTTGTGGTGCCTGGGCCTGGTAAAGTTGAGATGACATACACCCCCACTCAAGGAGAGCCAATCAAGTTCTTAGTTCATGATTTTCAAGGTAACAAATGTTGTAATTGATTAAAAGTAGCAATCAGTTTGTGTGACATATTCATTTTTGTGACTTTAGGCACAGGTGGAGTTGCATTGGGGATGTACAACACTGATGCTTCCATCAGGGACTTTGCACACAGCTCTTTCCAGATGGCTATAAACAAAAGCTGGCCTCTCTACCTCAGCACCAAGAACACTATCCTCAAGAAGTATGATGGGCGATTCAAAGACATCTTCCAGGAGATTTACGAGAAGTAAAGATTTATGCATTTCATTTTTTACAATCATAGTGCATCTTTTTACTAACTATTTCTACAATTATTATTTTTAGGGAGTACCGTGCTAAGTTTGAGGCTAATGGGATTTGGTATGAGCACAGACTGATTGACGATATGGTTGCCCAGGCCATGAAGTCTGAAGGTGGCTTTATTTGGGCTTGCAAAAACTATGATGGAGACGTACAGTCCGATTCAATCGCACAAGGTGAGTGAACTCTTTTTGAACGCTAAATCTGCATTCCCACTGCACATATCCTAATTATGTTCTGAATAATCATACTAAAGCAATATTGTGACTATATAGTGTCATGAGCAAAGTATCACCAGGTGTTCCCAACTATAATTAGAACTGTGTTATTGCATTTACTTATTGCATTAGTTTGTTTTCAGATTGGATTTCAAACGTAATAATCTGGTAAGCCTGGTGTCTTGTTCATTGTACTAATATAAAGGTTTCCTGAGTAATGGTGCAAAATAACAACTTAATAAACAGACAAACTGATCACATAACCTCCTATTGGAGGTAATACCAACACTTGAAACCAAATGGTAAATAAAGAAAACCCCTCACAGTTCTATACGCAATTTATAGACCGTTTTTTATTGTTTTATCTGTGACTGTTGCACATTGTTAATATCTTATTTTACTTTTGTGTGAGGAATATGATCTTTCATGTTTATAATATTGTAGGTTATGGCTCCTTGGGCATGATGACCAGTGTGTTGATCTGTCCTGACGGCCGGACTGTAGAGTCTGAGGCGGCTCATGGCACAGTGACCCGTCACTACAGACAGCACCAGCAGGGCAAAGAAACATCTACAAATCCCATCGGTAAGACTTGTGACCTAAGTGTCTTGTAGTGACCACAGTAGCTAACATTGATATTTTTAAAATGTGTTTATGTTTTTACAGCCTCAATCTTTGCTTGGACACGGGGTTTGCTCCACAGGGCCACTCTGGATAACAACAAGGAACTGAAGTATTTTTCAGAAGCTTTGGAAGCCGTCTGTGTTGAAACTATTGAAGCTGGTTTCATGACCAAAGACTTGGCCATCTGCATTAAGGGACTACCCAAGTAAGTTGTATACATATGAAAGCATATATACAAATGTTATAACCTCCGTACAGGAGGTAAAGTGATCACTGGCTTTTGTCTGTTTGTCTGTAAGCAACGTTAATGGGAAGATTTGAAACATGCATAATTGCCCAGTGAACAATGCATTCAATGTTGGACTTTTTCATTAAGAATGTAACAGCGCCTCTCAGCGGGGGTCTGCTTTCTAGTTGAACTTTTTATTTATCTTTCATTTCTGTTTTTTTGCCATTTATTAATCATAATTGAAACAATTAATCACAGGTTTGTACAAATTTGTGTTTCCAGGTTGACTCGGGCTGACTATTTGAACACCTTTGAATTTTTGGATAAACTGGCTGAAAACCTGAAGTTGAAGATGGCCAACCAGCCCAAGTTGTAATTAAGAGCAGGAAGCACAGGGACACACAAATCAACACATCTACATACTTTTTGCATGGGCCTCAGTGAGACTGAAGTCTTTGAAGCGTTTTAAAGTAGTGAGGTAGAAACCCGTCCAGCAAACATAGTGCCTTGTCCAAAAGAGAGGTTTTTGACTACTTCTGACCAAACTTCCCTGTTTACCTCATATCTGTGAAACAAACAACAGAAGGGACCCATTTTAAGCAGGATCCATTTTATGTGATCAGTTGCCTTTGTTTGTTTGTGTGGTCGTTCGTGCCATAACAAAAGTTATGGAAGGATTTGGGCTCCAAGAATCATCATTGTTTGTCTACTACTTGATATTGGACATAATGACTGAACCATTTTCTTTAACTTTTGTCTGTGCAACATTGGTGCCCATTAGTGTGTTTGCACCTCAAACATGCATTGTGTTCTGGTGTGTTTTTTAATATGCAATTAAGGTTAATGATAAAACACTAGCATTGATATGATTTTAAACTAATAGTATTTATTCGTTCTTGATTATTTGGTGATATATATGTACTAAACAGTAGGTCCCATAAAAGTATCATGCAAACAAAAATAAATATATGTGATTCCCAATAAGAGGGTGAATTTGTGTTTGTAGCATCCCGGGTTGATTAAGCTGGTCTCTATGAACTGATGGTTCACAACTTTATTGAAATCTTAGCATGTGAACAACACCATAAGAACTACAAAGAATGCAAAACATACAATTTGAAATCTTACAGTGAGACACATATAATATTAACCTTAAACTCTATCTATTTACCATTAATGTATTACTATTTCCCTTACTTTATTCCCTTATTCATTAACTTGACAATATTTTAGCTTTAAGGACTGTATAATTATCATCAATATCTTAATTACACTATTAATTTAAATTACCATTTGTTAGCGTTAACGGCCGTTTTGACGTCCTCTAGTGGCCACAAAATACCTTACAACTAAAAGTAAAACGTTAGATTTATTGGATTATTACAGAGAACTTGTTGAAAGATCCTTGTTCCCTCATCAACCAGGTGCCACGGGTTGGAACAAACTAGTCTTGAACCTTGAGTGTTTAGTTTAGTCAACGAACTATGATGATCACAAACTGTTGCACACAACTTGTTAGTCAAACTGTCAACTTGTGTTGCTAGGCAACGCCTCGTGGCCAAACAGTTGCCATGCACACAAAACAAAGCGCTGATCATACAAAGAAAAGAAAAAACCATTGGCAAAACATTGATGAAGTCATTTACAGTGTTTGTCTTGTCTTTTATGCAACAATTACTTTGACCATAAAGTCCTAATAAAACAATCATCATCAGCACTGTTTGATTTATTTATCTGAACTTAAGACTAGCCATACGAAAACGCCCAAGTGGCCAGCAGGTGGCGCACAATAATATATTGTCGACTCCGAGTGATCCTTCGGGAAACGTGTAGATCGCGGTAGATCGTGGTATAGATGTATTGTAATAAGGGGGAACGACGGAAGTGAGAACAAGTGAACTCCAAGTCATTTTATATGATGAATTCTGATCAAGACCAAAGAAATCGAAACCAAACCAACCAAAATGCTGAGAGAAACTCTCAATCTGAGAGTGCTCCTGAACAACAGCAACAGTAAGTTTTTTTTTTTTTTTTTCATTCAGAATAATATCATCATCATGTTGGGTCTAAATTACTTAATGTATTTTTGGTTGTGATTTTTAATTTGTGTTTTGGAAGTAGGATTATCTTCAGTTTCAGTTTCGTTTCACTGAAGTGCATAATAATAGTAAATGCAAAGTTGCTATGATAATAATGTGTAAAGCTTTTATAGAGTGATTATTTTTACATTGATAGTAAAGATATGTTATGACAGTCTATGTGACCTTGGTATATATAGTTCATTCATAGTCCGATGGATAAATATTCTATAATCAAATTTTCACTTTCACTTTCGTCTTCTTGTAAAAAGTCTGAACGCTGGAAATCATTGAAATACAAAATAGTTAATATTTTGAGCCAAAACAATATTCAGCAACAAGTTACATGTCTATGTTACAGTTTATATTCTAGACTTGCTTTGGGTTTCTTTCAGTCAATCTGGATATACTGTGATCAGACCTAATGAAACACGGAGGAACGACTTAACCATGGGTGAGTTTTTATGGATTGATCGAGCTACTGATGCTCATTTCAATACAATCTCTTCCTTTTGTGTAGTGGCGCAAAGTGAAGTAGAGCGTTTAAAAGCACTTAGAGAAGCACAAAGATCTGCTCCTGTACACATAGATCCTCAGAGAGTGGGTAAATATCACTCATGATGCAGCACATTATTCTTTTTATGTTCTGCAATGAAACATGTTGTCTCCAGGAGGAAATGGGACAATGGCTGAAGCCCGTGAACAGCAGTTTAGAAAGCAGAGGTCCTTGAAATCACAGAAACGGGTAACTTGTTTCCACCATCCATTATTTTCCAATGGTAATTTAGAATTTGATGCTTGGAACTTGATGTTGTATTCATGTTGACTAAAGCTGAAGATGGAGGAAGAAAAGAAACGAAAGAAAGAAGAGGAGGAAAGAGAGAATCAGATTGTTAAAGACAAAGCAAGAGAACAGGTATTATTTTGTGATAAAATAAACTGTGTATCTGTGGTTCACAAATATATTACTACTAGATATGGTGTTTATATTTGGTTTTAGAAATTAGGTTTGGTGCTTTATTCACTCATACACTTGCTGTTGTATACAATTCCAGATATATTTGTAGGTCTGTGAAAGGAGGGAGTATGCAACTGGTTTCCAAACACCCCCAGACCACTGTAGTGCATTATTTCGCCACTAGGTGTGAGTAGAGTGTAAGAATAGCAAGTTTTTTTTTTTTACCAGCATGAATCACGTAGGCCCAGTCCCAATACCCACACTGCACCCTACGCCCTCCTATGAAGTGTGCATTTGTTTGAAGTGCGCGCAAGGGTTTGAGTGCGCAGGTTGCAAGCGTGCACAAAAGGTGGAATTGGGACATTGCACACTGAGTGCAGTTTACGTCATCGACTCGTCAAGAGATGGTCATTTTAAGACCTAAACTTTATAAAAATTAAAGGTAATTTTGTCTGACCCTTTGGGAAACAATATGAATTGCTTCACACACGTTATAATACATTTATATTAGTTGTTTTTAATTAGAGATAGCGGTATAATTTTAAGTTAAATGTGGGTAACTAACTATCTGGTCAGTTTTTATACATTCTAAGATTATTGTACTAAGTGTAAAGTTTAAATTGAATGTTATAGAAACGCTTGCTTTAAAAAGTTATTAAATTGTTAAAACACAATGTCCGTAATTCTTCATCAGACGTTTATGCTTCTTTCCAAGTAACATAGCAAAACTTATTTACACACATACTGCATATATATTTCAAAATGTATATTTAATTGCATTTTCCCGTCGTTTTGGTGTCCCGTCGCAAAGAATTATGGGCAATATCCTTCGCCAGAGTGTGCATAGATGCCAAGCCCCGGCGATCCAAGATGGCGCCCTATTCAAATGAATGGTTGTGCTCAGTGGCGCTTTGTGACGGCATGGGGGCTGAAAGATTAGCGGAAGTTGCCTGAAACTCGCAAAGATCTATGGGAAACTCGCCTGTATTTGGGCATAGTCTGGTCCTCCCGGTTCTGCGCAGTGGATGATCTCCCATAATGCGTTGCGCCAAACACGCGTGTGTGGGTCTCACACCGGGTCTCACGCACGTGCACAGAGGGGCTCGGCCGCGCTCTGACCAATCAGAGCAGTTCCTCAAAGCGGGAGTTAGAGCGAGAGCCAGAAGAGCAGAGTTTGTGGCACTAAAGTGTGGATTTAAACAAAACCGAAGGATTTAAGAAGAAAAAAAGTTCAGGATGACAAGGGACACTAAAATCCCCACAAAATCCGATCTTTATTAAAGCTGTAGGTTCTCTGTCAGCTGAGGTTGAGCTGTTTTAATATGCATTGAGTTCTATGGGGAAAATTTCTGGGTGGCCCACGTGAATTTAGTCTGGTTCAGTCTGCAGTACCGCGAGAATCCCCTGAGCACGTGAGTTATTCAGCTACAAGCTAGTAATACCCTATCCAGTTAATATAATACATCCATGATAGATGCAGGCTACGGCGAAGTGTGGATCAGGGGCGCAAAGGGGGCGGGGCCAAAGACCTCCCTGGAGAATTGGGACACCCTACGCACTCGCACCCTTTATCGGGAACGCGCAAATGAGGGGCGCGAGGGTGGAAGTGCGAGTATTGGGACGGGGCCTTAAAGCTGCACTAACTGACTTTGGGATTTTGAAGCCGCAGACCCGCTGGCCTCTCTCTTTCTGCTCCCCTCCCCGCACCCACGAAGCTATCGCCCCCCACACACACCCACTGTTGTTGTTGGAGTTAGCGTCTCTCAATATGGATAAACAATAGATATGGATTTGCACATGGATGGCGTGACCATAGAACGATAGAACCGGGAAGCGCGGAGGAATGGGACTTTCTTTTGGATGGCTGTTTCGCTAAGTAAGCAGTAACCAGTGACGAAGACGAGAAAGCTTCAGGTTAGCTCCTCGGCTTGTTGTGCTAACTCAGCTGTCTATGCTAACAGGGACCTGTAGATTTCTCACGAAAGTGGGGGCCAGTGGTCCGCTGTGATTGGTCACAATCTGCGACCCGAAACACATTCTCTTCCTTGTTTCATCAAAACTCGATCTAAAATATAATGTCACGCCAGCACAAATCTGCGCTACTTTTTCTTCAAAAGGACGTATATCCCAATGCACTACATGGACATGGATAGCACTTTTGTAATGAATACAAAAATAAAGTCAGTTAGTGCAGCTTTAACCATAGCTCCAACTCCATCACACTAACACAGGCTGCTGCTGTTATGGCAGGTAACATATTAAATATACAGAGCGGAAGCTATGCATACAAATCTGTATCTTTTCTCTTCATCTTGTCTTGCTATAACTGCCTGTCTTAATATTTAGGCGGAGAAACAGGCACAGAAAAGAGAGAAAGAAGACATTTCAAGGAAGAAGAAGTTTGATCCAGATCGCCAGAGGTCATAATCCCTCACACTCTCTAACACATTTTCTGACTCATCATTATTTTTGCTCAAATGTATAAATGTATAAAAAATGCTATAGGGTCAGTATCTGAGTTCTGAGTAGGTTGTACTTACTTTGAAGCTTTGCATGATTTGTGAGCAGACTTTTAAGAAACAGTATTTTAACCAATTTTCAAGATTGTAATGTTCGGGTGGGGATTATCTCCACAAATAGTCCACAAAAAGTCCTTTCAACAGACAACAATCTTTCCATATTGATATTTTCTGTATCAATTGTGGAATAAAATGATGCCAGTTATTGTGTCCTGTGGATAATCAAAAACCATAGAAAGAAATCAATGTTACACGAATATATTTTTTATGTTTGTGTATATTTTAAGGCGACAGGGGCTCAGTTGGTAGAGCAATTGCTTTTGAGCCTGAAGGTCATGGGTTCGAGCCCACCACGAGACCTTCTCCACTGACTCCCACTGATGTCTGCTGTCATTGTGTCCTTGGGCAAGACCCTTAACCCCACTTTGCCTGTAGCCCCCGCTGTCTCGTCACTGACAGTCACCCCCCGACCCAGAAATGGATTAAGGGGAAGAAAATGGATGTATATTATATTGCTATGTCCACGTGTAAAGTCAGAGACTCTCTGAAACATTTTTCTCTGACTTGAAAGATGCACACGCTCACCCATATCGGACAAACACCTTGGAACTCGGGCCAAAAGCAGCTTCCCGACTGGTGCATCACCTGCTGTGAGGAGAGACCCACATCAGCGGATTAGTCCATTTTAAAATTTGAGCTTTTTGACTAAACACTGCCTTAGGAGTATTCTTTGTATAACTAATCATTAGAGGAACAGATTTGTACAACTGAAAGGACTCAATATTACTGTTTCATTAACAATGTGAGTTTCATAAAGTATACACGAGTTTGAAAACAAATATCCTTCCCAAGTGCAAAATGTTAGGCTAAAAATCTGTTATCTGGCAGGTTAAAATGTTAACGTTAAACAATAAAAAAGAGAATTCTGTATTTTGTCATTGGTGACATCAGAATCCAGAGTTCCCGGGATACTCGACAGCTCACCTCGCACATCCGAGTTCCCAAGGACTTTTTGAACACTGCATAAGTAATTTTCAATGTTGACTAATAAGTCATAGTAATTTAATAATCTCGTTCAATAAGAAGATTATTTTTATATTTTAAGCATTCCTTTTTGTTCTACATTTCACACCTGCTCATGAGCTAGCAGCACCAGTCACCCCACCACAGAAACTGCACCATCTTGAAAGTGTGTATATTTTTGTGACGGTTAACATGCTAATCCTGTGTGGAGTTATCATGCCTCCCTCTGTCTGTCTGGTTTCCTCCAACCTTTCTGGTTTCCCCCAAAACTATAAACTTTTCTACTTGTTTCCAAAGTCTCTGAAACAATCACAATGATTGGTTATGGGATGTTTTTTGATCTTATTGTATTGTGATGCAAATCGCCACAGATACAAGACAATGTACTCCACCAGTATATTGTGCATAAAGTTATGCTTGAAGCTCGAAGACCTCAACCACTATAGTTTTTCAATTTATGTTCATTTTTCCTTTTTTCAAGCCAGCGCACCTTTTCAGGTTGCCCTTGAACCAGGGCTTATCAGAAAGTCTTGACATGTGTGTTATAAGTCACTTTGCAAAAAAACCTGCCAGACAAACTTGTCATGTCGTATTCATGTATTGGATTACAGGATGTACTGTAGCAGAAAAACTATTCTGATCAAGGAGTGTCTATGGTAAAGCTACACGTTAAACAAAGCACGAGACGAAGATATTTAGGAATGTGCTTAAGTACCCCACTCTCTACAACAGCATTAGGTTAATAGATACATTATTTTACCGTACTACAGATTTCCCATTTAACTTTAGTACATTTATTGACTCTTCCTTTTTGTATTTGTTTGTTCTTATTGCCACTAACGTATAACTGTTTTACAGATGCCTGGAGCGTTATGAGAGAAATGGCTCATCAAGCACAATTGGCCCACTGGAACAAAATACACCCTCCCCTGACGCTGTATGTACCGATAATTACATTTGCTTGACAAAATAATTTGACTGTGATCCTCAAAATACATAACTCGTTTGACTGGTCTCTTAAGGCCTTGTCAAGCCCCATAACTTTGGCTGCTGGATCGGAAACAGACGCTGCTTTTCCTATGATATGCTTGAGTTTGAAGGTTGTTTTCAAAGTAAATATCATTGAGTTTTATACCCCCAGTGTGCACTTGAATTAGATTAGTGTTAAGCTCAAGTTTTTTTATTATTTATTTTTGGAAGTAAACCAGGGCCACATGGTAAGTTAAATTACGCATACGTTAATGGCGAGAGTGAAAAATGCTTTTCTAGACTTTTAAGTAAAGTCCTTGTTCAATTTTTTGCATTATTACACACATACACACACACTGTTCTTATTAGGCAAGTGAGGACACATTGTTTCCACTCGTAACATCCTCATTTGAAGCAGGTAAAAGGAGTTTTTACCTCATTCTTATCTTGAAATGCCAGATGGACCAATGTACTTCTTACAAACAAGACCCAAAATGATACTGAGGAAAGCAAATATTTTCTGAGGTCTGCTCTTGGTGTGAGAACTTGAGAAATCTCCTCTGTCTGTCTGTCTGCTTCTCGATAGAGGGAGCATGAGAACGGCTGACTGTGCTAGGGACTTCCCAGAGTTCATAAAAGAAGGTCAAAAAGACAACATAAATGTGCTGAGATTCAGTGGAGTCCATGTATTGAAACTGTAGGAGAATACTGTTTGCTGGAGATGATGTCACCTGTCTTACTGTGAATGATGTCACTTTGGAGGAGGCAAACTGTTGACATTTCATCCACTAAACTGTTGTTTCAGTCTCATGTGGACATGAAGGGTGTAAGGCCATGTAGCTTCCTCAGTGGGGAGGAGACATCTTAAAACGCTAATAGATCCTTCTTTCTATCAATTAGTTCACTATGATGGATGTCAAACTGCGACTCAATCTGGACAAAATGCATCTTTGCAAATGACAAAATTCACAATTCAAACTATATGTAGATAAATACAGATCTTGGTCCACACCATACAGTGTGGGCGGCACGGTGGCTGAGTGGATAGCACTCTCGCCTCTCAGCAAGAAGGTCCTTGGTTCGAATCCCGGCCGGACAAGGGCCTTTCTGAGTGGAGTTTGCATGTTCTCCCCGTGTCTGCGTAGGTTTCCTCCGGGTACTCCGGTTTCCCCTACCACTAAAAATATGTACAATAGGTCTGGCATGCGCCTCCTGTTCGGCGACCCCGCTCCCATCTCTGTGAGGAGTGAGAGGACAAGTGCCCAATAAATAACCATTGTAAACCGCTTTGTGACTCTGGTCTGTGAAAGGCGGTATATAAATAAAGATTACTTACTTACTTACTTACATTTTATTGTAAATTATTGATTCGCTATCAGCAAACCTGAACATTAAACCACTAGAACACATTAGAAAGACAACAATAAAACACCAAGAGTCATCGGTACATCGGTTTACGGTTGAACCAATATCCATAAACGATCACCCCCTGCTCTTCGACTTTCTCCTTCAATGTTAGCGTAGATGCTTAAGTTCGTTTTATTTTCCTTATGTCTCATTTCATTCCTCTCCCCTTTCTCTCCCTTCCTCTTTGGGGCTGGGCTGAGTCTCGGTGGGACGTCCCAGATCATGAGGCGGGGATGAAAGCTGTGTGAGGCCTCTTGAAGTGGTTTGGAGCAGAACTATGGGATGTTGTTCTTTTGGTAATGCCTTCATAAGACTCATACTGTAGCTCTCTATTGTGTAAATGGAAGGGTTTCTGTTAAGCTGCCGCAGGTGGGCTGTGGCTGTTGTTCCCTCAGAGCTGATGAAAGCTTTGTCATCGATTGGATCTGTATTATGACCCAAAGCCTTTAAATACACCTCAGACATTATGTTTTATCAGTTTTAATGAGGCAATTTATTACCAACTGCATATTGTATCCAAACATTGTTAAATTCAAAATGCTCATTCTTAATAAACGCACTAAGTCAATGTTCCTCTGTCTGTTCCTACAGAGGGACATGCCCAAAGTGAAAACTGAGCAGGAAAAAAGGATGGACCATGAGAGGTAAGAATATTTTTACCACACCCTTCCTGCCACATGTATGACAACACATCTTTCTATATGTGTGTGATTGAGTTTATTGATAAATCCCAATTAAAAATATAAGAGTTACAGTATAATAAGAATTGTTCTTATGGAGTATTAAACCCATGATGTAGCTGCCCCATTTTTAACTCAAACTAAGGAATAACTATTGAACACATTTCCTACAAAGAAACTGTCTTTTACTATACTTAAGGATATTGTGAAATATGTGTTCCTTTTATGCATGCATACACAACTAAAAAGTAGAAATATCACTGTTGTATGGACAGTATTACAGTTACGTAACATTTAAAAGGCTTACATTTAAAATATTAATAGTTTTTTTCAGTCGCAGCTCTGGATTTTGTTTGATTGTTATTTGTTGATTTTACATATAAACTCAGTATGACTGTGCTGTATTTTTTTGGACCTGATTTAAAGTCTAACGGTCGATAATACAATAGGATCTGTCCTAATTTACAGAAGAAATGCGACCTTCCTAGACAAAATAGAGCAGCAAATGAAGAATTTGAATGGTGGTGGTGAATCTCCTGAACCAATCTGTTCTGGAAGCTCAGCTGGAGGCGGTGCGACAAACACAGGTACAATTAACACTGCTCACTTTTCTCACGCCTTCTCACTAATTCTGCTGCTCCTCCTGGAGAAGCTGCTGTAAATCACATTTGTGACACCAAAGGCCCAGCTCATGCTTAGTGTGAGGCACTGTTTAGTCTGTGATGAATCAAAGACCTGATGTAGGGAGTAGTGTGAGGTGAGCTTGTATCTCAAGGAAAAGCAGCACATGGGAACCAAACCGATTCCATAAATACATGCAGTCTAAAATTAGAATTCGTTGTGAGCATTTTATCCAATCCACTTCACAGACAAATTCATAGATTTATGGTGTATGAATAGTTACAGTTGGAATGTGTAAAAAGGAAGTAAAGTTCAAGTAATGTTGAAAGTTGTTTTTAGAAATGCTCCTATCCGACAAATTTGGAAATGAAAAAGTAGAGTGCCTGTCCTCCATGCTGCTGTTAAACTATACAATTGGAGCTTCACTTTCAAGACTGAACGTCTTGAAAGTGGAGGCCTGCCAGTCCAGACTGCATGAAGCCATATCAATGAAGCTGCATTATTAGGGCAGCGCTCAGAGGTCCATCCTTGCACACTCTGGTAGAGGAACATGTCTGTTCGCAGCTTTTGGCTCATAGCAAAGAAATAATAATAAGTAAAATGTACAAACATATTTAACATATTTAAATTTAAACTATATGTGGTATATGACAAACAAACGACTAGGGTGAGTTCAAGGCTTCTGCGAATAGTTCGGATTTATTATAGTGAAACAAAAAGGTGCACTTCACTGTACTTTACCACTTTGGAGATTTGGAGCTGTAGAATGTATACAATTCAAAACATTGCTTTTTTTCAACATCAGGTGCAATATTTTTTCCTGATATTTGTTTGTTTCTTATAGTTCCAACCTCTGGACCAGACTTTGAATGGGCCTTAATGAAGTTGATGCGTAAATTTCCTTCTTTTGACAAAGACTTTCTTGGAGACATTCTCGGTCAATTCAATGGGGACTTTGAACAGGCCTCAGCGCTTCTCTCTGAGTAATGGGTATGTTATAGTATGTAATGTTTACTTTCAGGGATTTTGGTTGTGCCAAATATTACGTGCCGTGTTTGTCAGCACTGTCTGATGTGGACACACTCTTTAAATTAAAATAAATTCAATGATAAGTCCATTCTCATCAGAATAAAAGATCCTGTACCTGTGTTTTCCAAGGCAGTTTAACATAATCACAGTATGTCCTGGTGTAGATATGTTGTAAAAGGAACCCTTTGATTAGGGATGCACTGATCCTGCTTTTTCAGTCCTGATACAGATATAGACACAATGGCCCTCTTGAACCCCGAAAACCATGTACCCAATTGAATAATGTATATCCCAATATTTGCAGTATCATAAAAACTTCAAAGCCAAAAGGAAGGTATAGCCAAAAAGGCCGTTATCTGCAGTGGTAAAATCAATGTTGTTGATTATAAGTATATACCCAGGACATCAAAAAATCTGTGAAATTGACACTGTACAAAAAACACTTGATTATATTTTTATTTCTTTCATTTTGTTGTGTTTTTAATTAAATAGGATCCGCTAAAAGCTTCAGTTATTAGGGAGTTTGATGCAATATAGAATATGTGTGAAGTTTACACAAATGGGTTTTTGGAAGAATCTTTATGAAACACTTTTATAATATAATTTGTGGTCAGATGTGTGACTTGTAGCACTACAGAGTTGGACTTGGAAAGTTCACCTAAGAGAGAGAACAAAGGGTGGTGTTCGTATTGTGCGGGAGCTGAAATCCCCTCTCTGTGATATGCAGTCATGTCAGGGGCTGCGGCTGATGTCATCTGGCAAAACCTCTATTTGTAGATTAAAGGAAACAGCGAGAGTACCACAACACTGTGCAAAGGACAATATTTTGAAAATAGACAAATTACCTTTGATTTGTTTGGAGTTCACCTCCCTGTAGATCAGTCTGAGTGGGACAAACCCAATCCCTTGGTGACTTATAAATTGTGTTAAAACTTTTTCGGATTTTGCCCTTAAATTTCCTTCATCTCCACTCAAGAGATAAATTACTGTAGCTACATCCAATAAAATGTGTAGAGGTGAATATCACAGCTTTTGTCAACAAATTCTCCTACTTTCATCCATTAATTAAGAAAATCCAGATCTACATTTAAACTATGACGAAACAGGGACTTGAACCAAATCAAATCAGACCGAATTGGAGCTTAACCACGGATACATCTTAACCATAGACCAGTGTTTTTAAATGATGTGTTGGAATAGAAGCCCACTCCTGCATGTCAGCATCTATCTTAGAAGCATTCTTTGTCTTATCCTGTGGAAAGGGGATTTTGGCACTCATGCCTCTCAGCAAGAAGCTCATGGGTTCAAATCCCAGTCAGAACAGGACCTTTCTGAGTGGAGGTTGCATGTTTTCCCCGTGTCTGTGTAGGTAATCTCCGGGTGCTCTGGTTTCCCCTACCACTAAAAACATGTACAGTAGTTCTGGCATGCGCCTCCTGTATGGTGACCTCGCTCCCCTCTGGAGTGAGAGACAAATGCCCACAACAATTGTAAAGCGCTTTGTGTCTGTGAAAGATGCTATATAAATAAAGATTACCACAAAATGTTTTGATTCTGCAGCAGATGGAAACTATATCTGGGGGTGGTGTGACTGTATACGTGTGAGATGCAGCTCATTGTGGAGCAGGTGGTTTGCGTTTCATTTTCCTGATATTTGCAATCAGTTTGTCTTTAGTTGGATAATTAAAAAAATGAGTACAAATAAAAGGCGTGAAGTTTTATTTCTGAGCAAAAATTGTATTAAATAAAGTTTATATGAAGTTTGGATCAATTTAGATTAACAAGCCATGATGAATGCATCTTAGCTTTGGTTTAAAAATGTGGCATTTAGAAAAAAGACAAAAGTGTTGTGAGCCTGCTAATCATTGGTGTTCTGTGAATTTGAATCATGATCTCTATTCTTGAGCAGAGATGTGTGACAGGTTGGCCAGGTAGTAGCCTGGTTGTACCACACCACAATACAAATACATTTTGGGAAATGATGATTGGAGTATACGGATGGCTAAGGCCAGGCAAGACTGGAAGTAGAATTATGAGCATTCAGGTTATGTCCTGCAGAGGAAGAAGGGGGCAGGTGCAGCGGAGCAGACTGGTTCCCAGAGCTTCAAAGTGGGAAAGCGTTTGGCCACAGTGCACCCAAAGTGTATAACACAAACACATGTTTGGCACACATGACACCCACACAGCTCCCAGTGGGCCCCGGAATACCAATCCTTTCCTGTCTGCTCACCAGCAACGCAAAACTGTTGATTTTGAACCCAGATGAGTCACTTTGACCACTCTGGCCGCTACCTTACCCTCCGCACATCCGCTCATTATTCAAACTTCACTTTGTTTGTGATAAATGGACTCCCGTAAGATCAAATAGAATTAAAATGTATTTGAATAAACAATATGATTTTTAAACTTGCCAGATTGTACAGCTGTAAAAGCAGATTTTCTCCATGAGCAAAAAAACAACACATGCCCGTTCTCAAAGCTGCAGCACTAAATATCAGACTCTTGGTTGTTTCTCTTTAATTGTCTCTGCCCAAAGGACCACCCTGCTTCAGAGGATGAGCTGTCACTATGGAGAGCGGCCATTACCTCAGCCTGTGGCACAGCAACAAACACATGCGTAGATTCAGGGCCCTACAAACAGACTGGAGTTAGGGGAATCCCAAAGGGCGGTTCACACAATCATAGAATGAGATCACTCTCAGATCTGCATTACATATAAATAACAGCAAAACTGAAGAATATGATAAACTATCTGCGTTTTCAGAAACACCCTGACAATTAGACACAGCCCTGTAGAAGATTAAATGCTGATATAAAAAGGATCTGATGTGATGAAAGCACTACACGTTTGACCCCTGTTCTAAACAAAATGATTTCCAGCACTGCAATTTATTTTGAAAACAGAAATGCATGGTTAATAGAACAGACTGTTCTTCTTGCTGTTTCTCTTTGAGTCTGCAGTTTATCCCATAGGTCAGAAACGACAGATCCAAAGGGGTTTCAGCAGCAATAATAGATTCAATTTAGTGAATAATTTATAAATAATGAACAATAGAGTGACATGTACTTGTGAGAACTTTGATCCAAATCTATTTTACCATATCTATTTACAGCCATATCTTCTAATATTATTAGATTATAAATTATTTCATCATAATAAGCTGCCTAGTTTTCCACGTGTACTCAGGTCTCTGTTTCATTGAGCCTTTTGACAACTCTCCAAATATATTGATTTAAATAAACAGCATTATTTTCTGGCCTTGGTTTGGATATCCAATTAAAACCTTTGACTCTGAGGGTGCACTAAACATTATTGTATCCTGTCTGGACTTTGCACCTCCTAGGGAAAAATCCTACAAATATTATCACGTTTGGAAGCATTGGTGTTTTAATAGCACCCTTGTGTGATCCTCTTAGACTTTACATTGGGGGCGTTGAGTTGTGGTGTCTGTCTGTAAGCCTTGTAAAACGTTTCCTCAAAAGGGCTGTATTCTTGTGCCCAAACGCAGACACAAATGGAGACTCATACGTTGCACATGCTTGAACACACACCGTATGCACTCGAAACGATGTCAAACCACAACTGAGTCACTGGGCTTCCTAGGGGAAAATTGGCGTTCCTCAAGTGTTTAGTGGACAGTGCTCACAGTTCTTGATATTCCCACACTGCTCACTGCGCGCCACAGCTGGCATGTGCACCTCTAGTCACATTTGCAAAATATCGATGGATGAAGAAATCTAATCAGTGGTCCGGGAGATGGGATGCAGACAAACGTGGATCGTTATCGTCACTTTTCTGTGTGGGCCAAAAGTCTGTAGTTACAAAGGCCTCCTCTGTTATTCAGGATGCTCTGGGGTCAGAACACAGATAATACTCTAATAATAAAGATTTACTGTCTTAATTTATCAACCAGAGACATCCTCAACAAGCTCACTAGTGTCTTGCAATATAATCACCAATGTTCCACCCCGACTTTTGGATGTGGCTTTTAAACTCAACATCAATTGCACCAATTTACCTAGCTGCAAATCCATAGGAAATGTAAAAAGCGGTGAATCGGAAATATAACTATACTTTTAATATGAACTAAATCACATGTAGCATGAAATGACCAAAGTGTCCACAAGTGCAGGCTCAAGATCAAACCACAAAGATTTGTAGCTCATAAAGTTATGGAATTGTAGCTTGGCGTACTTGGAAAATATTCATTTGTACAAATTGGGTATGAAAATGACTTACAGATACAATAAATCACTGCGTAAAACCTACCATCACTTTTGTCCAAAAATGATATAATAAAAACCTATGTATTTCATCTTCAGAAAGCTTTGTATTGCTACATATTGTTATCTCAGTCAATGTAATCCACTCCGCAGAACACTGATGAAGCTGAAGCAGAGAGAGGCCACCGGGTTCAGGAATCCATGGACTTTCGAATAACTAGAAAACACACTGCAACAATTCAAATTACTGTACTATGTTGAGAATGTGTTCTGAAAGCAGGCCAGAAGAACTTTTTAGGCAAAGTCAATGTCATCATCAGTTTGTATTTTAAGTTCTCCTCCACCCACAGGATGGTTATCCTGGTGCCCCTTGTCTACGGTATTGCTTATATGAACCCAAACAAACTCACATGCAGTGGGATGAAAATTACTGAAACCACCAATCTTTTCAGCGCCATTGTTCATTCCCACCCAAATTTAAAATATATTCTTTCGAGATGTTGGTCCTTTTCAGACCTGTTCACTTTCTGCATGGGCAATGGTTGTTCATTGGTTTGCTGTGTTTTCAATTGGATGATTACTATAGACTAGAATTCATAAACAAGGACCTACAGTGCAGTGGGACCAGAGAGCACGCCGTTTTGTGGTCCAGGGGCAGTTGAGTTGTTGGATAATTAGAGACTCTGGTCCTTTCTGAGTAACAGAGCTGTGACGGTGATTGATGTTGTGTAATG